CCCCAAAACCCCAAAACCCCAAAACCCCAAAACCCCAAAACCCCTTTTAATAAATTTATTTATGATATATTTAGTATCAGAGAGTTATTATGGTCTAGATTTCATCTATTCTTAGGTTGGTTGGCAATCCCATTGTGTGCATGAAGAACTCAAGTTCTCCAGGCTCGACTCTTTTGCGGATAATATTACCACGAGTGCTGAATATTACTTCCTCTGATGCTGAACAATCAATTTGAGCTGTGACTGCTTCTGAATTGGTGTTCAGAACACCATAGCTATAAGCATTTATTTGCTCAGAGAATGTGTAATAAGCCTTAAGATTTTCAGTCTTATCAGCTTCTTGTCCATATGTAGCTAGGATAGCAATATTTCATCTATTATCTAGGTCTGTCTGGACAGCATCTCTTACTGTAACAGCTAATTCTGATTCACTGTGCATTGTCATCACAAATCATCTCGATCTAATGGAATATAAGTCTTGGTCATAACCCAAATTCTCAAGCCATCCAAAAATTGTCTGTGTTCCGTATGTTTTAATACTATCTCTCCAGAATTCTTTGAATCCTCTCAGAGTAATTCCTCTGTTAGAAGAACAATATTTCTCAAGAATCTCTGATCTAAATTCTGCTTCGCTTAGATTTTTGCCTAATCATTCATAAAATCCTCTGAATTCAGTGTACGATAATTCTCTATTGAGAAGCATATCAAACTTCCTGAAAATATCATTCAGAGTTGATTCAAAAATGTCATTGAAACCATCATATTCATCCAAAAGGTGAATGTCTTGTTGGGGAGCTCCTTTAGGTCTTCTTAAATAGCATCCTGTCGTTCTTGGAAGGATAATATATGAACCAGGATCAAGAGTAACATCAAGCTCTCATTGTCTTTCAATATTTAAATCTTTGAGATCAATGAGTTCGACATTGTTGTCTCCAGTCCTTCTTAATACTGCTATTCCAATGTCAAGGTAAGGTCTTCTTAATCTTGTATTTTCTACTCTTTCATCTTCTTGATGAACTCCAAGAAAGACTCTTGTTTGTTCATTTACATCCAATGAATAATACCATTTTGATAAAACAACTTCTATATCTGGATCTTCGACATTTTGAACACGAATGAATTTCCCTTTTACTCTTACTTCTTCCCAATTTCTGACTCTACAAACATTGAGGGATCTAAAATGTTTGATAAAGTCTTCGAAGCACATCCAGAAAGTTCCATCAGATTCTTCCAAATGAGGATTTACTTTATTCCTAATTTCTTCTGTCCAAAGAGGAGAAGTGCTTGACCAATCTCCAGCCCAGTCAAAGTTGCCCCAAGGGTTTCTTATGTTGATCAATTTATTTCCTTTTGTCTCTTTTACTAAGACTATACTGTAAGCATGACCTGGCTTGAGACTACTTTCATCAGCATTTCCTTCTCCTGGCTCTAGGAACCTTTCTTCTCCAGGAGTGCTAGCGCTCATCAAATATCCTTCGCTTTCAAAAGATTTGAATAAATCCCAAAATTCTCCACTAGTGATAAGGATTCTGATTAATTCATCATTAAAATCATATCATCAGCTAGGACATCCGGTGAGGTCGATCAAAGCTTCATTAGTAAATCCTTTCCTGAGTTGGAGATAATTTCCATGAAGCTTAGCATATGCTTTTTCTAGAAGAAGTACCCAAAGTTCATTCCCGTGACCCCTAGAAAATATTGGGCCTCCTTCAGGATAGCATGGGAAGAAATCATCAATTGTGACTGTTGTCCATTCTCCATTATTTTCAAATTTTTATTTTGTAAATGCCGTATTGGCTTACTTCTTTTATTATGAATAATCTTTCGATCAGAGCTGGTCTTTCAGCAAGAGTAGCCAATGCTGAAGTGAACCAGGAATTGCCGAGAGCACCTTCCCTTATATCATTAGGCTCTATACTTTCATAGAAGATACTTGGCTCAAGAAGTCCTTGGGAATAGTCTACCCATACAAAATCTTCTGGTCTTCTCCAATGCACTAGAACATCAAATGGATTTTCTTTGAGATTATGAACGCTTGCATCAATAGGAGCAAAGCTAATATCAATAAACTTTGAGTCTGTATGTTTTACTTGGTTCTCCAATGACTCCATATTCATGATCTCATAGGGATAGCCACTTAAATATCTATCAGCATTCTCAATCATCTGGTTGACTTTGACAATATATGGCATAAGATGCTCTCTTTGGATCTCAAGAGGAGGATTCTTCATTGTGAATTTAAATTTACTTTTCAATTTCCATTCTTTCCTTAGGATAAGTTTTGCAACCACTTCGTTCGACATTGGTTGAATTATTTTCTCACATATGAAGTTGGAGGAATTAGTATCATCAATAAAAATATTTTCTGACCCTGTAAAATCAGCTTGAAAATCAAGAATCTGAAGAGTTTTAACTTCGACTGAGAATACATAGACAAGCTCTGCATTTTCTCTTCTATCGCTTACTGGCATTTGCCTCTTATGGAGGAAAATTCCTCTAGCAATCTCTTTTGTGACGGTAGCCATTTATTTAAATTTTATCAAGAATAAATAATATATTGGGGTTTTGGGGTTTTGGGGTTTTGGGGTTTTGGGG